CAAGGTGTACATATAGTCTCCTCTTAAAGACCCCCAGGGTAGGAGCCAGCACCACTTCTCTTGGAAGTTGGTTCCAGATCCTAGCCGCCCTGACCGTGAAGTAGCGCCTCCTGATATCTAGCCTAAATCTACCCTCTGCCAGCTTGTGACCGTTATTCTTGGTCACTCCTGGTAGTTTGTTGGTTAGCCACTTCTCATTTATTTAAATTGTTTTATGGGTATTGAGAAGTCAACTTGGTGCTGCTTAATATTTTGTTTTAAACATGAGTGCAATTTTAAAATCAGAAATACTAAGTCAATATACAGATTTGAATCTTTGATAGTGAAAGAAACTGTATTCTTCCTTCAAGGTTACATTACAGACTTTATTAACCCCACAAAACACAAAATTGTAGCCCAAGGAATACTTCCTAGAGCTGTGTAGAGAGCTTAGTTGGCTATATGGTCCTTTTGCCAGATGACCTTAAAGGAAGTTAATGTGTACTAAATACTATTCTAAATGTTGCCACTCTGAGAGAAGTTGGTCTGCACCTCCAAAAGATTGAAGGGTGGGTAGCAAGGTTTACCAGGCAGTGTTTGTATCGAGATGTGGTCCAGACAATGGAAGCTTACCTGGTATTACCTTTCTTTTAAATTCCTTTGCCAGAAACTGTGTTTGGAAGCTGTTTAGCTAAAACAGTTGCTGCATGGGGTTGGTTTTATTTTAACAGGATGTGAATTTTTTCCATTTTTAGGTTATTACAGATTTTGCAGGAATAGTTCTTGAAAAGAAAGCTACAGAAAAAGGATCTTCTGAGGAGAATAAAGGTAAAAGTCTAAAAAGTGGCTAGTGAGATGCTCCTGTTAGTGTAATTACTGTTTTTTATAATGTATATCATGTATATCACACTTTGTCTTCAATACAGTGATGCCTCTTACAGATTTTTGTAAGTTGTACATCATCTACTCAACTTACAATAAATTACTCAGGTTTTCAGTTAGATATAGTGACTCGGACTACTGCTTAAGGTATAACACAACAGAGACCAATTAAATTGTTAAAATTCCACTGAGTTTTGAGATCAGACCATTTATTTTTCTTAGATAAGTAGTTTTTGAAAACCCCCTTATCAGCTTGATGGCATACTGACTCTAGAATCTCCGTCTCTGAGCCAAAAGAAACATACTCATGGGTTTGGCTTGTTTGTTTGTTTTTTAAACCTATGTTTTTGTTGTATGTTCAAGTATTTTTGTTTATACGGATCCAGAAATAATCATTTGAAAGCATGGAATGCATGAAACAAGGATTCTTTGGGAAAGCTTCCTCCTTGTGAAAGTCATTTCTCAGTTCAGTCAGACGCACTGTAAAAGAACGTTGTCTAGTTTTAGAAATTAGCTCAATGCTATAGTATTTCCCCAGACTCTCTTATGTGGTTAATCAGTCAGTTGGATGAGCAGTCAAATCTAAAACCCAGTGGAAATATAGGACTTGATCCTGTGCTCCTTTTCTAGGAAAGGTTCTGTTGGCTTTGGCCTCTACACCCTGGTTTTCAACCCGTGGTTCGCAGACCCCTGGGGTCCGCAGACTACATCTAAGGGGTTTACAAAAGATGACTAAGATTAATCAAAAGTCTGTGAATATCTACGATTACAATTCAAAGGGGTTCACACCTCCACTCAATTTTTTTTAGGGGTCTGCAGCTGAAAAAAGGTGAAAACTATTGCTCTACACAATAGATAAGATACAAGTTAACAGTGAAGCAAAAATCTCTCTGATCGGGATTTTTTTAAGGATAGTTACTGTCTTCAGCCTTTGTGCTGCTAAACAATCTCTGACCTGCAAAACTTACAAACCAAGAAATGAAAGTGCATATTATTGCATGCTGCTATATGTAATTAATGTTATAGTACTAACTATGAAAAACCTAGATAGTCCTTTAGGAGCTTACTCCTATTTTCCCACCCTGTTTTTTTTTTTAGTGTCTCTGCGTCCTATCTTTTGAAAAGATGGCTAGCTTTCAGCAGTTTGCAACAGAAATGTGCTATTGAAGTACAGAAACTAAATAAAATAATTTTGGTTTCACTGAAACCTGCAAAAGAACTTAATCTATTTTTTTTCACATTTGACAAGAAACAAATACAGCGGCTGTTGTGAAAATCCAAGAAAGCCAAGTGGAAGGGATGGACTGTCAAGACGTGCCACCTGAATCCAGTGCTGCCTGTAAGCAATGTAATTCTGAATCTACTGTAAATCTGTATCCTGATCAATATCAGTGTATCAAGTCTGTGATAGGCAGCGGTTTTGGAGAGAAGGAAATGTGAGACTTGGTCTAGAAAAGGTCTATGGTCTGTTCATTTCAATTAAAGAACATTGCCTCCAAACTCTAAAAACACTCAATTTCCAAAGATGGTCCACTTTGAAATTTTGTTCTTTTATACTTTTCAAGTATATATCAGAAATTACCTAAGAAGTATGTATTGCACATGGCATAGCACATATTGATTCACTGTGGACATGGACTAATCCTTCCAAGTGTTATTTATAGTAATTGGCTATAATGTTGTGTGTGGTTACTTGTTAAGTAAAAGGAAGGTGGTGATAGTCCTAAGGAATCTGGAATACTTTTAGTGGTAAGGCATTTCAATTAAGGCTATCTTGCATGTTAATAATGGAGGATTCCTTGACACTTAGTGTGTTCACAAGAAACTCCTTGAATTCTTGGTGAAGTTTTTTGGGGGGGCATTTAAATAAGAGTTAGTAATTAATTAGCAAGTTTAACTCCTTTGTCATAAAAAGTGCACTTGACATTCTCTACTTATTGTATGTTTTGTTAGTACAATTTAGGTTTTTGCTGTGTATTAAATGCAGGGAGTAGGGTCCTTGCTCCATGGGGCTTTCAGTCTAATGCATGGAGAAGTAGCTTGCTCATGTCTAGTAATGTGCCAGTAAAGAGTTGGGGATACTGGTGGCTAATATTAGAAAGTTTTATAAAGGAAGTGTTCACAGGAGGAGAGGCAAAGCACTGGGGACTTGATTCTCTGCAAAGAAGAACATCTTTTTACCAATGTGTTGATTACCTTCAACTACTTTTAAGTCCACAGAAAGTGATGGCACTTATGCACCTGATGCTGCAAAATATTAAGTTTATGGAGAGTTGTTTTAATAATCAGAGAAGGCATCAGGAGAATCTTGAGGGCCTGATCCAACATATACTAAAGTCAAGGACAAGGAGAATCTTCCTTTTCATTTGTCTGGAGCTGAATCAGATGCTGGGGAGAAATTAACTGAGGATGTGTGATGTCTTAGTTCAGAGCCCACAGCTTTTAATAATATAATTTTCTTTTTGTAGCTCCAGAGAAAGTTACCTGCCTTATCCCTGATGGAGTTCCTATAGATATTACAGTGAAGTTGATGATCTGTTTGGTTCACCTGAGCATTTTAGAGCCACTCAATGTAAGTATAAACTAACACAGTTACATTGGAGGCAGCTATGGAACATCAAGCAAAAATGTTTTTCTTACCATTGTATAGCTACAGAATTTGATTTAATAGTAGGTTTTCTACTGTCTCACTTTCCTCCAAAAATGGGCACAATCCTAAGAGAGTCATTACAACAGCATTGTAGGGGGGATTTTTCCCATGGAAGTAAACCTCTTATTACAGGGAATTAAATAACTGGAGGTAGCTTGAGGTGTGTTTTTTTTATTAGTAGCAATATAATTTTTTCCCCTATAAATATTAACCAATAAAACTAATCAAGCCAAATTAATTGTCCTGCTAGGGAGGAGAGAGATTATATCCTTTACAGGAGAGTAAACTGCAGCCTGTATACTGGTCCCCAGTGAAAGTTGCTAGCAAAAGTGTTAGAGGCTTGGACTGATTCTTATTAACTATGAAACAATACTTTCTCTGAATCGATGCTTCAGTCATAATGATGATTCAAGACTTCTTTTCTTTGAGAAAAATAATTTCTCTCACCCCTCCTCATGGAGCCTTTCACTAGGATAATTAAATTTGAAGTTTGCTTTTTACCTATTAGAGTAGGGTAGCTTAGTCCTATTAGGAATTCTGAAAATCTTGAGGATTTTTGACACTATACGATCAGGTTTTAAGGAAGATTGTATTTCAGAGTGGAGTGTGCGTGACATTAGATGTTGACTGGACTGTTTGTTAGCCAGGTCCTATATGAAATGGTTTGCAATGCATATATGTTTGGCATAACTATTTAATTTCTACTTGTTTTATTGGAAAGCCTCTCTTGACTACTCTAGCAGAGCAAAATCCAGAGGAGATGGGGGATTTATACCTAGATGTTGCAGAAGCATTTCTGGATGTTGGAGAATACAATTCAGCATTGCCTCTCTTGAGTGCCCTAGTCTGTTCTGAAAGATATAACTTGGCTGTAGTCTGGCTCCGGCATGCAGGTAACAACATGGCAAAACTACTTAATACTGAAAGATAGCATCCATCATGTGATAGCATGTAATAAAATTCTGGTTAAAGTCCTGTATTTAATAGGTAAGAGCATTAGATTTAATGACCTGGTATTGGAAGGTCTTGTGCAGTGTTGAGTGTACTTATCTCCCATTGACATTTTAGGCTATTAGTGAAGGATCTCTGAACATAAGATGTAGAGGCCATGTGATAAATTATACGTGTTGCCATGCTATAGTTACAATCAGAGAATATCACATTTATTCTTGTAGTACAAGGTTTTCTGGCATGATTGGTGTCCCTTAGCCAGTATAAAAAACTTTGAAATGTCTTCATTGTAGAATATTTAGTCTTCCTAGGTATGAATGTCAGTGATTCAGCTTTCATTTTACATATTAATCCCCAATAGGTGTTGGGTTTTTTATGATGCTGCTAATACAGTGACTTACATTGTTAGGGCATAATATGAGGGTGGTACACGTTCCTATTTTAGTAACAAATGCTCAAAATAATTCTAATTGTAAGTACATGCAAATTTTTGCTACAGAACTAATTTCATATGTATTATAACAGTCATGGTCTCTACACCATGTAACCACATCTAATTCATTATTTTTAGAGTGCTTAAAAGCCTTGGGTTATGTAGAACGGGCTGCAGAGAGCTACGCCAAAGTTGTAGATCTTGCTCCCTTGCATTTGGATGCAAGAATTTCACTTTCAACACTTCAGCAGCAGCTTGGCCGGCCTGAGAGAGCTCTCGAGGCCCTGGAACCAATGTATGATCCAGATACACTGGCACAGGATGCTAATGCTGCCCAGCAGGTAGGTGACATGCCGTGTGATATGATTTTTGTCTTTTGTGTTGGATCCTTTGTCCACGGTTCTGGGGTTCATGGTTCTGTAAAGAATGTATTGCTAAATATACTAGCACTGCTGGTTAAAGATACCTTCCTGGCAGTACTGGAGTCTGGGTACCCCAAGGGGAGAAGTGGTGAAAGGTTTCCTATGGGGCTTCAGAGAGCATTATAAGGAAAAGAGTGTAGCTACTCTATTCACTCATATGCACCCCGCCTGACCCCCGCCCCATATCAACCCTTCAGTATTGGGGTGCACTTAAGCGGAGAAGCTGATTTTTGCACCAGAATTAAAGCATCCAATAGGGAGCTTTAACGACAACTGGGGGTATCTTCCTTTCCCAGCTTGAGAGGAAGGGGCAGAGTGTCACAGTTTTAAACCTTTCACAACCTCTGCTAAATGGGCAGCAGCTTTTGGCTACTCATCCAAAAGCTACTGCTGAATTGGCAGAAGCTATGAGAGGGTTAAAACCAGCACTGGGCAAGATTCAGCCTTGTGGAATTCAACCATGTGGTAAGAATTTAGCCATGAACTGGAAAATATTTTTTTGTCTTTTTTCATTCTGCCTTCCCAAAACCAGGTGCATGTAGTATGTGAGCAAATGTGATGCTCTCTGTGTCCATTTAATCCCCACTACCAGTATCTTAGTTTTGAAAGCAAGCCATGGAATTAATTTAAAATTTAAAATTTGATTAATGATGTTCCATGTTTTCTAGGAATTAAAGCTGTTGCTCCATCGTTCAACACTGTTGTATTCCCAAGGCAAAATGTATGGTTATGTGGACACTTTACTCACCATGCTAGCCATGCTCTTAAAGGTAAGTTAAGTCATATTGCTTAAACCAAACAACAAACTAACTTGAAAACATCACAAGGAAATTACGTGGAGAAAGGAAAACAGTAAGAAGAACATTAGTAAACTGAAGCTTTGTATATATGAAATAGCATGTTTAATAGACATACAGTTATGTTATTGAATAGTGTGCCTAATCTTTCAAAGGCGTTCAGCAACTAGAGCTCCCATCAAAGCCATATGAGCCTTTGGATTCTCAGTACCTTTAAAAGCTAGGACGTAAATGTTCCTTATTCTGCTCTGTTCTGTGTATGAATAACAACTACCATTTTATGCCTTAAGCTCTGGCTTGATTTTCATTGTTGGGACTTGTTTTTGTTGGTAGTTACCTAGAGTCTTGCAAGTTTTAAAATTCAATTTAAAAAAATTCCACCAGTTGTAATTTGATGGACTACAGAATTGTTCTGTGTGATTTCAGAATATACAAATTAAAAACAGAACGTCACATCACTTTGGGTACACATAGGTACTGTAAATTATGGAAAGGTCTTTCTGTAAATACCCGCTTGCAAATAAGATCATTCAAAGTGAATTTATGTCAATAACTTTCCTTGAAATCTTCTGCTGTTTTGTGTGTTTACTTAAAAATAATTTTTGTTTTGAAAAAAATGTTTATATTTGGAAATGTAGTGTTGCAACTCTGGCTGTTTGTTTGTTTTCTGTTTTTTGTAATTCAGATTTCCATTTTCTCCAAACTGTTATAACATACAGCAAAGCTAACTGTTGACATATTATTTCTTAAACCTTGGTACTAGTACCATGGCATCCCTTTTGTTATGCCACTAGAGAAGGACTTGTGTTTTTACTATAAATAGACCAGTAAAAGTCTTCAGAATATTCAGAAAGCATTTATCCTTGTTTTAGATCATCTATTGTACACTGGAGCATGAAACACTGCTAAATATAACACTGTTTATGAAAACTGTCAAGCATGCTTTTGCTTCCTGTAGTGTAACTGAGCAAGATGTGCGATAGGTACAGGATGCATTCACGGAGCCAAAAACATTACGATATTGGTCTTCATAATTGTTTCCAGGTAGCAATGAACAGAGCTCAAGTGTGTTTAATATCTAGTTCCAAATCTGGGGAGCGACACCTTTATCTTATTAAGGTATCAAGGGATAAAATATCAGACAATGATGACCAAGAGACAGCAAACTGTGATGCCAAAGGTAATAAAATCTGTTAAAAATAAATTAATTCATAGTAACTCCTTACCTACCAAAGACACTAAGTTTGTTGCAGACAGATCCATGGTATTCCTAGTAATAAGACTTTATTAGTAATACCAAAATAGAATTCTGTTCTTTAAATAATGTAGATTTGACATTTTTTGTTCCATATTGAATCAAAAGCTAGACTATGTCTTATGTTGTTTGCCTGCTTCAGCATAGTCAGTTGCTTGTTGGTTATGGTATTTGTCTAGAATGTGGGAGACCCACATTCAAGCCTCTGCTCTTTCACATGGAGCAGAGTGAGCACTTGAGTCTCCTTCATCCAAGTTTAATATCTTAACTACTGGGCCATTGGCTTTTTTAGGACAGGTGGGTTTGTGGGCATGTGCATGTCTTTTTCCCTGGCTCAGCTTTACTGATAGCCAGATCACCTCACCACACACAAACTAATTCATACTTTGCCTAAATTAAGTCCTGATCCTACAGACTTTACTCAAATAAGTGTTCCCACCAAAATCAAAGAAGTTATTGCTTAAGTCACTTGCAAGTTGGTAACATGAAAAAGTACATTTATAAACGAGTTGCTTTAATTTAGCATGGTGCAGGCACCAGGCCTGTATTAATATTCTGTGGGGAAAAAAATTTCTACTCATTTCATAGCAAGTTAATTGAACCTGATGAAAGAGTTGTTTGAACAGTGCTGCTTAGGAAGAAGTCTGCAGGTACACCACTATTTATCAGCTGCACAAACTACTGTGTTTTTCCAGCTGATTTTTCCAAAATTTCCAAATTATGACTAGCCCAGATCAGGTAGTTCTTTCGCAGGTAAATGAGATGGCCTTTAGTGTATATGTACATGTTTATATAGTACTGATCCAGCTTGAATTATTTAAATTCCCTGTAATTATGAAGTGTTTACTCTGTGATTATTTGTTAAAATTTGAACTCTATAAATTGTGTTTTAAAAGAATTGAAATCCATTTAATATTATTTTCCCTTAATATAAAAAATTTTTAAAAAAACCCTGTGGGTTGAAATTTAAACAGAATCTATAGTCTTCAACTCTCTTTTCTGTGCCTGTTTGACTTTCTTACTATTTTAGCCATATTTGCTGTACTCACAAGTGTCCTGACAAAAGATGATTGGTGGAACCTTCTCCTGAAAGCCATTTACTCCTTGTGTGACCTCTCCCGATACAAGGAAGCAGAGCTGTTGGTGGATTCTTCCCTAGAGTATTATTCGTTCTATGATGACAGGCAAAAGCGTAAAGAGCTGGAGTACTTTGGTCTTTCAGCTGCAATTCTGGACAAGAATTTCCGCAAGGCTTATAATTATATCAGGTAAGAATCACTAGTGTAGTTAACGCAACCATATATTCTGTAATGATTTCCAGTGAGGCTTTATGTATACTTCTACGAACATTTGTAGCTATTCTGAGTTACATGCAGGCTGATTTTTTTTTTTTCTAAGGCCCCCAGAACACAGGACCCTTAAGATGTGGTTAACCAGTCAATCATGTCTTAATTTGTTCCCAGGCCACATGTTCGATCAATAAATGGCATAATAAAACAGGGGATAAGCCATAAAGTTATTACACAAAAAATGTGTAATAATTGTAGTGGTTTCATATCACACCAACATGGTGCACCCCCACAGCTAGGTGCCCCATCAGCTGATGGGGCTCCCAGCTGGGGTGGGGGCTCACTATGCTGACAGGCCCCAGACGTGACGGGATATGATGTTTGATCCTACAATCAATCCTCCTGCCATGCACATGTGGCATAGCAGGAAATGTGATTGTGGTGATGCCGTATCAGATCCCACGGCCCTTTTACTTGCACGTCTGCCAGGGACCTGAGAGGACCAGAATATCTATTAATTTCCACTTAATCAAATAAGTCTCTGAAATTAAAGGGCTTTTTTGGCAGTCTTTAATAGCCAAAAAAGCCCCTGTCTGCTTTATGGCACTTTTCTGCAGTGGACCATCTGGTCATCTTGCTATATGTTAGGAAAGTATTACAGGTTATATGCCCAGGTTTTCTTATATGCCCTACTAACTTTATTCAAATGAGTTGTCCCATCAAAGCCAAATAAATTACTCTAATAAGTGAGGACTGCTTGGCTCTTTGAATAATTTGTCAATTGATTTTAGACTTGTCTTTCACATGGTACTTTCAAATAAACTGTAGATCTCTTCTTTTCATTGCAGGCTATTTACTTAGTGATTTATTGCATACTATAGATACACAACACAATAAGTGATTTCCTTTCTTTTAGAATAATGGTAATGGAAAATGTCAATAAACCTCAGCTCTGGAACATCTTTAATCAAGTCACCATGCAGTCTCAGGATGTACGACACCATCGCTTTTGTCTTAGATTAATGTTGAAAAATCCAGAAAATCACGCACTGTGTGTCCTAAATGGGCACAATGCATTTGTATCTGGCAGTTTCAAGCATGCTCTTGGTGAGTCATTATTTTATTTAACTAATAAAAGATACAACGCTCTGAAATATTTTGTATGTTATACTCCCAAATTCCTTTACATCAACTTTCTCACAGTTTTTATATATTTTCAAGATAGAGGGAATATGTCATTTTGAGTGAGAGAACACTCACCTTTGTCAGAGATCCTTAATATTTGCTTTGTGCTGCAATTAATGAACTATGCAGTTTTTGGCACTAACACATATTATATCACCCATTTTAATTTGTTGGTAAAAGAATCAGGGCATAAGCGAATAGGCCAGTTCATGAAAATATGTATCAGCAATTCAAGGAGTATCTGTGTAGTAGTTATGGACTTATATTTTGGGGTGGGAGAGCTGTTTTTCTTTTATTGTAATGAGGAAAAATGTGGGTTTTACTTATGCATGGTCAATTTATAATTGGAACAGTATGGTAAATCATTACTTGATGACCATGAAGTATCAAAGAGATGGCAAATCTGAAGTATTAAATATTTGTTCTAAGGAAAATTGCAGGATTAATTTAGAAGAGATACATTTTCAAAGAATAATTTACTAAATATTTTATAACGCCTCGAGGAAAATAATTAAAATAATTAATCAGGGAATTGGCATCTTGCTAGCTTCTTTACACAGATTAGGGCTGAGGAAATTAATATTTTCCCAGCAAGTACACAAAATTGAAAGTGATTAAATTAGTTGGCCATTAGCTCATCCCCAGAGTGGGGAAAAAAAAGCAGGGAGTGCCATATTTTCTTGCATGCCACACCCCCCAGAATGTGCACACCTTGTTTTGGGAAGGCAGAATGAAGAAAAAATAAATGTCCAGTTATGGCTGAATGCAGACTGCAGGGGATCCTGGCTGCAGCAGCTGTGCCTGGGAGAGAGTTAACATTGCAGCTCTGATTCTAAAGGGTGAACTCTACTCCCTTCCCTTCTGAGGCTGGCGGACAAGCATGGCAGCTGTCTTGCATTTCCACGCTTCTATTGCAGTAAAGAAAAAATCAGTTTCCCTGCTTAAGACATGCACCACAACTTTGGAAGGCTGATTTTTTTGGAAAAAAGGCTGTGTGGGGCACGCAAATAAATATGGTAGGTAGGGCCTCAGCTGTGTAAACTGTCATAGGCCCAGTGATGCTGGTGAAGCCTCAGCATTTTATACCAACTCGGAGACCCTGGATCTCAAAAAAGAAAATACACACAATTGTGATAACATAAACAAATGAAAAGTTTCTTAAGAATCTTTTGAGAGATGCCTACTTTGCGTTATACTCGATTCTGCCACGTAAGCTACAATGGGCACGTCTACATGAGATGCTACGTTGCCATAGTGGTGAGCTATGGTGACATAGTGTCAGTGGGCACAAATTGGGATGCCAATGCTACTACACAGTAGCAATGAGTGACTGGTCAGTAGGGTCAGAAACAACCCATGTGCCCCCAGGACTGTGCAGTAATGGTGGTTACTGCGCAGGCATTAAATACTTGATAAAGCAACTACTAAATGGCTGAGCAGTAACAACTGTGCAGCCAGGAGCATGTGTAGATGTGCCCAATTCTAACAAAAAAAAACCCTTTTTGTCTGTGTTTGCGACTGTTCTGTTTAAATTGTGACTTTACTTAGGGCAGTAGAGGAGGGTGCTGAAAACATGAAAGCTGTAGCATCTGGTATTCTTTCATGTTTTATTGTGGTTGTATTCAATATTCATTCCCTTATGCTGGTTCACTTTTTCAGTTCAAACTTCCAAAAAAATTTGATACAGTGAAATGCTTTTAGAGAGAGACTGTCTCAAATCATTTACTTCTGCTTTTAGGACAGTATGTGCAAGCCTTTCGTACCAATCCTGATGAGCCTCTGTACAGCCTTTGCATAGGCTTAACTTTTATCCATATGGCATCTCAGAAATATGTCTTAAAAAGACATGCTCTTCTAGTTCAGGTAAGTTTGGGGAAGTGGGGTTGCTGTTGTTATGATTGCATTTGTCTGTAGTATTTATTGTTCATTAGCTCTCTTACTCCATTCAAATAGCTAAAGCTAAAACAAATGATCAGAGCTGATTAAATAATATAAAAAGGGATTTAGGTTAGGATTTTCAAAAATATCCATGTAATGTTGGAGTACATGTCCCAAGACAAGTCTGCTGCTGCTCCAGTTCTGTAAGTAAAAGCAATTTTGCTCTGGTTTGTAGAATTCTTAATTATTTCCATGTATTAGGCAGCTGCCATGTACTTAAGAAAATATTAGTTCCATTGGCTGTAGTATTGATATTTATGCAGCTGAAATATTATCCTGGAAAGGCATTATTTACTGTTCCACTTGTAGAAAGGGTCACTCTCTTGAATAGATAATAGGAACAATGTCATGTGACATAGGTAACTAGCCGTGTAACATAAATGATATATTATTGGATCAAATACTTAACAAATAGGCATATGTTGAAAATTGTGTCCAGAATGTTTAGTGAATCCCTACAATGGTAAATGCATAGGAGGATCATCATTTAGGACCCCTGGGGTGTTTATATATATTCTCCAGGAATTGGGCAGGGGGGAGGTGCTTTAATTACGGTGGCTCTAAGAGCTCTAAAGTGCCCAGAGCGTCATGTATATCAGTGTCCCAATGCTTAAAAATGGTGGTGAGGGCACTTTAAAGCTCATTGAATGAGCTTTAGTTAAAGCACCCCTGCTGCCATTTTTCAGCACGGGGACACTGATGCACGTAACGCTGGAGTCTGCTGGAATGTGATACTTACCATGCTCCACCAGACTCGATTAATCATGGCTGCTCCAATGCGCTGTAATTACTGTGTATAGACACCCCTGAATGCTTCACTAACAAAAAAATAAAAATAGAACCTAATGAATAGTTAGACCAGTTCTGGAAACCAGATAACTTCTAAGAATAAGGATCAGAGATTTTCACTGATTCTTACAGTTAGTTGAGTATTTTTAAAAGTTGGTACTTAAAGCTATGGGGAGTGTTACTCACTGAGCACTCTCTAGTGAATCACTGAAGGATTGATTTGCAAGATGCTGAGTGCCCTCAGTGTCCATTGAAACAAGGTTGGACTCTGAACAGTTTTGCTTTGATCTGTAAAATTCTGACTGAAAAACCCTGAATTTTTGCCCTGAAGGCTCTAGGGACTCTTGTCCAGTGGTTTTAAAATGCTCCTATTTTTGATGTTGTGGAATGTTTTGCTTTGTCAGATAGGCATGCAAATTTGTACAGACACTGTGTAGATAATCTCTCTGCATTAGATCATGTAATGGACAGATTATCTGTAAAATGTTATTTATTTTTTAAATAGAAGGTATTTTTTTTAAATAAATGCCCTTAGAAAAGAGCAACTAAATTCATTTGGTTGGTTGTTTTTGATCTGATCAGCCAAATTTTTCTATCTATGTTTTTCTTAGGATCCTCATGTAGATGCACATAATTATCTTGTACGCTACATTGTGAAGGAATTGTTCTTTTCCCTCTAACTTTTTCTGAGCTGTTGTAACTATTTATGGTCATTCGTGACTTGGTGTGGTCTGATCCACAAAGTAGGCCAAAGATGGAACCCTGTGATCCTTTTTTTTGGATTGCTGCTCCAGCACAACCCACTGTAACCATTTTCCCTTTCAGCTAGTCCCTTCACCTTCTGCACTTGCCAGAGCTGGGCCCAGACCCATACTAGACCTTATGGTTTTGGGTTAGTGGCCTCCAGTATTTATAATTTCTTCCCTGGAAATTGAGGATTTTTTAAATTTCCTCTCCTCTCCAGGTGAGGCAGCTGTGTTCAGATTCGGGCTGGAAAGCTGGCCACTTAAGAGGCTTGATTTTGTTTAGAAACACTGAATGCTTACAGTTCCCATTGATTTCAGTAGGAGTTGCAGGCACTTGCTCTAAAATCAGCTCACTTATTTAGATACCAAACTGTGGCCTGATTTTAATATTTTTAGCTACTGCTTTCCTTATAATAACCCTGTCTTTCCTAGCTACTGACATTCTCCTTTTACAGTGTATTTGGAAAATGTCCTATTTGTGTCACCCTCTGGTCCTGCAGTTTTGTGTCTGCTTTTCTCATTTCTTTTTCACCCACATTGAAGGTTTCTTTTAATCTTAGCTTGCCCTGAGTCTGTCTGTTCAGTAGTTCATGCAGACATTATGTAGTGGTGCTCCAAATTATCATGATGAGCTGGTGTGTTGGAGCTAATTGCTCATGTTGAAGGAACTATCTTTGTTTCTAGAGGCAGTATTGGTAATCAAAGGCTGTTAGTTACAGCCAAGTCAGTACATTCATAAGTGATAACAAAATGAACCATAACTCTGTTTCCACTGTGCAGTAGTTCCCTTCTGAATTCTCCCTTTTTTCCTTAATCGCATTTGATTTTTTTTTTCCTGAGGACTCCTTATATCTAAAAAAGACCATATGGATTTCAGTCTAAAACGGCTATACTCAGTATCTTATTTTTACTTTAATCTCTGGGAAGTGACTCTGGTCCCAGTGGCCTTCTTTATAGCAGTAAACAGACATTAGCTAATGAATATTCACAGTGTCCTCATATAGTGAAAGGCTCAAGAGAAGCTAAATGACTTTCCTAGGTTGGTACAGTGTGTTGGTGGCAGAGGTTGGATTAGTTCCCAGTCCTGTGTTCTTTTTTCTCAATCTGTGTGGGTAATGCTCATTGTTTCTTCCACATTGCCCCATCACTGTGAAGTGTTCCACTACAGGCCATTCTGGCTCGCTGGGGCAGTGGAGGGGGAGGGCTGCACTGTATCTTTAACTTCAGCATTGGGATATGATTTGGTTAGCACCATGCTCCAGCCACCTTTACCTCCAGTTTGTTCCTGGTATCAGTTGGATAGGAGGCGGGATGGGCTTCAGGGCCATGGTAAAAGGGAAACAGTGAGTGGAAACTCACCATTCTTGCCTGGGGTTGAACCCAGATCCTGACAGCTGAGCTACATGGCTCCCGCCTTAGTGCTGTATTTGTAGTAATAATCTGTCAGACAGCTCAGATTGAGTATTGTTCCCTTTCTAGTTCTTTTCCTTTTATAGGTTTTTGGTTGTAGCTGTGTTGGTCTAAGGACGTAGGCAGGCAAGGTTCTTTGAGTAGATGTGATATCTTTTATTAGACCAACTGAGTAGTTGGAAAAAAGCTCTTAGCAGGCTTTCAGGCGCAGTCACTCTTTTTCGGGCATAGGAAGTCTCTCTCTGCTGTTCTGAGACTCCAAGGAATGAGAGAAGCTAAAAGTGAGCTAGAGTTCACTGCATATAGACCAGGGGTAGGCAACCCTAGGCATGGGTGCCAGAGCATGGCATGTGAAGGTATTTTGCTGTGCATATGCACCTCAGGGTGGACAGTTGGGGGCGGGGGCAGGGCTGCACTGCCACAACAATTGCAGCTCCCCCAGCATCCACCCCTGGCATGCCAGCATCTTACAAGCCAAGGTTGCGGGTTTTTGACACTGCCCAAAAACGTTACCAACCCCGATATAGACTCTGTTTAGTTTAAAAGGGGGTAAAACAGAGAAATAAGGAACTAAAGTAACAAAGAACAAGTCTACTGAAGTTATAGAGGGGTTAGTGTAGTGGAAGGAATTACTATTCTAGGTTCAATTTCTAGTTGTGCACCAGACTTTGAGTCTCCGGCAGAACTCCCTCTGGCCTCAGCAGCGTTAAGATTGGACTCTTCTACTATTTAGCCTCTGAGTTACCCAGACCTTTAGCTCCATCTTCCCTTTTATTCATTTTTCTGATCTGTCATTTGGCAAACGTATGCTGGGAATTGGTCATTGCTGAAGGTTGCTGGTGTTCTGGGAGCTTTTACAAGGGTCTGAGGAGGAATGTGTTTGCTTTCCAGGAATAGTCCTCTGTTCTTCTGTGCGGACTGCAGTCAGGGTTGGTTGAATCAAAAAGTTGTTTTTTTACTGCTAAACAACAAAGTAAGAGTGAGTTGTAAAAAGGGCAAGGGTTGAAAGAAACCCCTCCAGTGAACACAGGGTGATGTTCTAAAGCACGATAGATGTAAGTAATACTATTTCAGAACAGCTGGCCACAATTTAGTAAATGTCCTCTCACCATGTGAACTGTCTGGAGGCTATGAAAATATGGCTCTGGCTCTCGTGTGGTATGAAACAATGAGTTGTTTTTCCCTGTGGCCTCAAATGAGCTGATTCTTTATGGAAAAAACACTTTCTGCAAAAAGAGAGAAAACCAAAACCTTATGCTGTTTGTTTGTCGTGTGTGTGCAGGGATTCTCTTTCCTTCACCGCTACCTGGGCATCCGTGGACCTTGTCAAGAATCTTTCTATAACCTAGGCCGTGGCCTTCATCAGATGGGATTAGTGCATTTGGCAATCCACTACTACCAAAAGGCTCTTGAACTTCCTCCTGTTGTCTTAGAGGTACTGTACAGTCAAATACCTGAACCTTTGTCTCTACAAATCAGTTGGGTATTATCAGTAAGTAACCAGAAGTAAAAACAGTGCTCAAAATTATCAGTAATCCCTACTGTAAATTCACCAGTGTTAGAAAAAGTCCCTTTTAGTTGTCATATGTTCTGTGTTTCTGGACATGCATAGTTTGAAGGGTCAAGACAGTCTGAGGGTTTGGTTTGATGGTTACATTATTGGGAGTGGCAGCGTCAGCTACAAGAAAATGTTCAATGGAGAACTTTTTAGTATGAATATCAAGAAGTGTATTTAAAATCCATTTCAAAGCAAGAATAATGGCATGTAAAATCTGACTGGCATTTTCTCTATTGCACAAATAAGAGGGTTTAACAAAAAATATAGATTTCCAGTGTAAATATATTGATGTAGTAGAAATGAAATGACCTATATAATAAGATAAAGAATTTGTGTGCATTAGTACATTGATTCTGTAGTGGATTTCTGTTGTAATTTGCCATGGGTTTCTTTGCACTGTCTATATAGTGGGTCAGATAGCAAAAGTGTCTGAACTAACAGACGTTTATCTTAATTGTAGTGAGGCTTATTTAAAATAGTTGTAATGGAAGAAAACATATGCTCTGCCATATGCTAGTGTTGTTCTCTTAGCTAGAGTTCTGGTGGGGGGAGTGGGAAGAAACATGTCTGGTCATAAGGCAGTGATATTCAAGATTTACCCAGGTTTTATATCCAATGTACGTGCAAATAATTTTTTTCCAATTATTTCAGGGAATAGAAACTGATCAAACAGACTTGAAAAGAGATATTGCCTTCAACTTATCACTAATTTATCAGAGTAGTGGAAATACAACAGTAGCTCGGAAGCTGCTGTATACATATGGAGTCGTATGACGAGTGTGTGGCAGCTGTTCGCGATTAGGATGCAGCCTGCAAGAAAAACTGCCTCTGTCATTTTCACCAGGATATTGAGGATGTTGGGCAGTATGCAATGGTAAAAGATTAATCTGAAAGAAGCTATGTAAATATTTTTTCCTAAACAGAACTAGACACGGTCTGGTCAGAGCTGCCACTCTGTAGGTATTTTGTTTCATAGACTTTTAGCTATTTTTTTCCAGTTTCTAAAATTGTGACAATAAAATGCACTGATTCAAGAAAAAATACTGTTGGCATTTCTGAGCAAATTCCAGACATACTTGAAGTTGAGGGAGCACTTACCATTCAGTTCTGGATTTTTCTCCATGGATTTTGATTCTGAAATCTACAGTTCCTGCTGGCATACAGCATTTTCTGCTGAATAAGGGGCCAAAAAAGCACTAATTATTTTTGGAGAAGACTTGTTTGTGTATTTAACCAGATACTGTCCTTGTTCAAAAGCTATTCATTTGCTACAGTTAGTTTGCCACATACTATTCAGAATTGTTGCTCTTATGCAGGAGAGGGAAGACAAATCAGCTTCCAAGGTAGAATGCCTAACCCCTGCATATTAGGCAGTAGCTTCATACAGATTCCTGGGAGGATATTTCCAAAAAGAGGAAAGAACTGTAAATAAATCCAATTGCAAGAACTTTTTATTACTTGCATATTTTTTAGGTAATTCTTTATTCAGCAGTAATGTTGTCTGAGAAGTGACTTTTGCTTTAATGTTATGTGCCACAACTGTAACAGGCATCCTATTCAGAAAGAGTATTGTATATTTTGTGTTAATAAAATTTTTTGGTTTGTAAATAACACCTATCGTTTCAATAATTAAGTTATTCTTAGCAAAAATCATAATCTGTTTAGTGGGTTAAAATTAGTAGTGTACTAACAGACAGCCCCAGAGTTTCATTTTCCTGTAGTAAAAATGCAGTAGAAATGCTGCAAGTTCCGTATATTCCATTGCAGATTAAGAAGATAATTCCAGTTTCACAGGTTTTCTCTTGTCTCGTAGAGAAATAGTTCTCAGAGCTCCTGGTTCTCTCTCTTAAAACTTGTCTCTAGTAAGAGTTATGATGAGTCCTTGTAAGATTACAGGCCTAGATCTTGGCATGTAATTCTTTCCAGCACGCCTGTATGATTAAACTTCAGCACTAACATGATTTCTATTAGACAACAAATTGAAATGTGTAGGGCTGGATCTTATATTGAATTTTAGTCAAAGTCATTACAGCTCTTGAGGAAAAAGGAACAGGTTTGCTGAATTCTCTGCTTCTGAGATATGCAATTATAGTTTGTTTTTATTCAATCAGATGATACCCAGTTGCTAGACAAAAATTTGGCAGATGCTATTGTTGATAGTTACTACCTGTTTGTTCCCTTCATGGAGAGAATTCCAGTTGAATGTTCCACTGGGTGGCGTGGCCTGTCGGTCTGACAAAACCAGACGGACAACTATTAACTTTGTTTTCTAAATATTGTCCTTGCCCCAAAGCCTTTTACTCTGCTCTGATGGGGGCAGAATGCCCATTTGTTTATCGTTGTTTTATTTTTCATCTGTGCCTAAATATTTAATATTCTTTACCATTTCCTCTTAACTTTTTTTCCCCTGATCTACATGGTATGATGCATCTCCTGCTAATTCCACAAATCAGAATAATCTTGTGCTTACCTTGTGCTCCCCATTGTCTTTCCTTATGTATTTATTGTGTGGGCTCTCATCTTTTTATTCTGCTTACAGTCCCCCAGTACATGCTCCATGTTATATGTGAAAGATGTTTTTAACTTCTTCCTCTTTTCTGTTGAAGTGTCCTGCACACTCTTGGCCTAAATATTGGGTTGCATTAACAGAATCATCTCTTGCATATCAAGGCAAGTGATTTATTCTGCTCTGTTCAGCAGTGGTGAGGCCTCACCTGTTTTGGGCCCCACCTTTCAAGAACAACGCGAGTAGATAGGGAAGAATCCAGCAGAGAGTGACAGAAATGATTAGAGGCCTGGGAAGCATGACTTATGAGGAAAGGGCTATTTAGTCTGGAGAAGAGAAGGCTGAGGGGGGATTTGATTTAAAAGTTTTCAAATACCAGAGGAGTGATTATAATGGGGATGGAAACGAAACTATTTCCCTGCTGTAGGGGACAGGACTAGAAGCAGTGGACTCAACTGCTGCAAAGGAAATTAAGGCTGTGAATTAGAAAGAACTTTCTGACTGGTGGTGGTCAGGCATTGGAAAAGGCTACCTAGAAATGCTGTGGACTTACCATCTCTGTACATTTTCAAGAGGTTAGACAGATGATTAGCATGTTCCTGCCTTCAGCAGAGGGGTGCTGGACTAGACGACTTGGTCCTTTCTAGCCCTACTTCCCTATGATCCTAAATCTAACATCCTCTCCCCTTGCCTTCTTGGACATTAACCTCTCCCCGTCACGCAGGGTATGTGGTTGCTCAGTGTTCTCCCTTTTGCTATCCAGATCCTCCTCTCCCTTTGTTCGTTACGGCCCTGTATGTCCCAAAGAGTTGATTGGGGTGAACACAGCCAAAGCCCCTGGTCAAGCATGCCCTCCCAGATTAAATTGGCTGTAACAATTTTAGCAACTAATTAAACCAAATTGAAGTCATTCAAATAAACAGGGAAGAAATAATTGGGAGAGCCAATGCCCAGGACTCTTTAAAACATCTATTTTATTCTTTTTTTTCACCCCCTGCCACCACCTTTTTTTGATCTGTCAAAAACTTTTCCTTTAACTGAGATTTGAAAAGGACACTTTAAAGAAATGAGCAAGTATGAAAGTACATCCTGCAGGTGCTGTTCTGGCTGGAAAACTGGATTTGTACTCAATAATAGAAATTCAAGCTTTGACGGTTAAAAAATCCTTACATGTAAGACTTAGGATCATAGGATTTATGCTTGTAAGTACTCTCCAAAATATGATAGACCCTTAGCAAAATAGAAATACTAGAGGAATTGGATTCTGTGGACCTTCAGATGGTGAAGATGACCCGATAAGGTTTTTGGAGTTTTTCTCGTAAATCATTGGACTTAAACTTAGCCAAAAAAAGAATCCTCTTTATACTGGAAAGGTTTATTGCATCACAAGGGTACCATCTGAAATGCTGAACTAATGTCTGGAAGAACAATGGCAATAAGAGATAGTGGAGGTACAGCTTACTTTTTGATTTTTTCTTTCCAAGTGTAAATTGAGTGTAAAGTACTCAGACAAAGTTTGTTCCACATTGATCAGTGTTTAATAGAATGGTTGCTACACCATTTTTCCCTGCAAAGCTTAGGGTTTATCTGAGGAAATAAATACATTTTTATGGATTACATGGGCCAAAATGCTTAATATCTATTGGTCAAAATTAAGGTTAATGGAGCCCACAACCATAATTCAATTCACATGATACTGACTTCTACATGCCTAATAGTGTTAGAATTTAAAGATCTCGCTTCACTTAAAATCGAAAAATTATGGACATGCTAGAATTTTGTATCTCTCTTGTATCTCTCTTCTAATTTGAAAACCATGAATTCAAAAACATTGTATTGCCATGCTGAACAGGAAAATTGATGCTGGCAATTTATGCCCCATTGACTACCGACTGAAATAGTTTTATACTTAATGTGTACAGTACATATTTTGAATAAGTATTTTTGAGCATCCAAACCCAAGATTTTGTGCATCATTCAACAGGTGTTGGGAGAACATAACAGAAAACTTATGTGGTTATGCCCTTACTTGAATTAATCTTAAAGTTACTGGGATAAATATTCTTTTTGTTAGAGAAAACCTTGCATAAATATTAAGACTACAAGTTATTTCTCTCTCAAATGTTTGTAGGTCCATTGCTGGTTGATACTGATGCACTACAGTCTCAAAATTTAAAACCAAGTTAACCTGTTGGCTGATGGTAAAATGTCTATAAAAAATTGTCTCAGTTGAACAAAAGTTAATGGAAATGTTTTCAGGAAGGCTTCCCTCTGATTCTTATGGTGCTAGAAAAATATCCTGATCTACTGGTTAAAGATAAGATTTCAATCAATTATTTCAGATAAATGGCTGAAAAAGAAAAAAAAAATCCAGTCAAGAATATTTCACAAGAATGAAGGAAATAAAACGGCTTGTATTAAGCTAAATTAACTAAGTGGAGGAAAAATGGAGCCTGTGTCATGAACTGATAACAGCACCGATAAAATAAATACATATCCCTATGTATTAATTATTACCTGTACAGTGGTAAATCTGAACTCTCAGCATATTATAAAATGTGCATTAAGAGCAATACATTCCAGAATTAAGCTTATCTGTACAATCATAATTTGGCCCTTTTTCTTTCATGGTAGTCTAGTTTTTTATATCTTTAGTCAGTACATGAAGTGGATGGTAAACAGAAGAAATTAGGTGTGCCGCACTTCAAGAGGGATGTGGACAACATGGAGAGGGTCCAGAGGACGGCCACTCGCATGATCAGGGGGCGGCAGGGCAGGCCCTACGAGGAGTGGCTCAGGGACCTGAACCTGTTCAGCCTCCACAAGAGAAGGCTGAGGGGGATCTAGTGGCCTGTTATAAACTAGTCAGGGGGGACCAGCAGGCATTGGGGGAGTCCCTGTTCCCCCAAGCACCGCCAGGAGTGACCAGGAATAACGGTCACAAGCTGGCAGAGGGTAGGTTTAGGCTAGATATCAGGAGGCACTACTTCACGGTCAGGGCAGCTAGGATCTGGAACCAACTTCCAAGAGAAGTGGTGCTGGCTCCTACCCTGGGGGTCTTTAAGACAAGACTGGACAATCACATTGCTGGGGTCGTTTGACCCCAGTACTCTTTCCTGCTGTGGCAGGGGGTCAGACTTGGTGATTTGCTCAGGTCCCTTCCAACCCTACCAACTATGAAACGATGTATGAAACAAGAAAACACCAGACCACTTCAGTGAAATTGTAAGAATTTTACTTAACTTGGATAGAAGCTTTTCTCTTAACCCCCCCTCCCTCTGGTGCCAAACCTGTCAAAATGAGAACTCCTTTTGCTGGAACTTTAAAAAATCTGAGGCATCAATATGAGGCAAATGCATTCCAGCATGGAAATCATTCGCCCTGTCAGGTACTTGGCAATGTCTTATTATACAAGTAATTGGAGAGGGAGGTTTGGAATGGGGAAAGTACTTTTACTGCAGTCACTGCCAGCTCTACCTTCTGGGTGTCTTTTTTCAGTTTCTGGCAGAAAAATAATGTGCACCGTTAATAATTCTGGCCAGCCTCAATAATAAAATTCACCCTATCATGGTTTAATGGACTTCAGTAAATCCATGTTCTTATTTTACTTTTGTAAAGCTGTCTCCTAGGTATTATTACATCTCCTACCGTGGTCTAATTGTGCTCCTTCTGGTATTATAGAAGGCCCCTGAAAAGCTCCTATCAAAAGATTCATCAAAGCCCACAGATCAAGGATAACAGCTGAAAATGTCTAGTGCTGTGAAGGCATGCACACTAACTCTACCACTGAGCACATTTTTAAGTCTTCCAACTATTGATGAAGTAAGTGAAGTCCATTTAGTAGAGGGTTAACCCTTGGTTTAAGTAGGTCCAGTGGAATCTCTAGCAATTCTCATCCAAATTATCAACATAAATTGCAGCAATGTCAAATGAAAAATTGGTGTCTTAGAAATAATTAGGCAATGGTGATAAACTTTGAATTTTACTCTGAAGCTACATACATTAAATCTGCAATAGCATATTTTTCTCAGTCTTGTCTGCTGTGTTGTAGCCTTTTAACTTTGCTTTAAAAATCTGGGTGGGATTTCCATAGGATGCATGCTCC